TTCGCAAGGCGATTCGACGCGTTCCGCAAGAAGGCACGCCTGAAGATCATTTTAGTTAACGGATTGTTTTGTTAAAAAGAGGGAAAAGCTAGAGAAACGTAGATCGAATGGTGTATTCGATGGCCCGATCTGCAAACAGGTTGCCCGCGTAATCGTTCGAATCGCCGACGACGGCAGAAATCTCCGTGTTCTTTCTTGCCAAACCAAAATAGAACGCGATAATTACCGTTGCGAGGAGGAAAAGGAGGATCGAACGGACGAAATAATCGGACGACTCGTGGCTCGAGTTTATTAACGCGCCAAGGTGAGCATCCTCGTTAGAGCCGAGAAACATCTACGAAAAGAATGCCCGAGGTAATGGAATATACGGTCTCCGGTTCGTGTACGCACGTATGTACGCACGTATATCGAGGCGTGCATGTGCCCAGTGAAGAGGGTTTCCGGCCGAAATTTTTCAACAACCGAACTTTATCCGAATTTCCATCAGCAGCGAATTTCATCGAAACTGGAACGATCGGCGCGCACGGGAAAATTCCACGAATCGGACGAGGGGAGGGAACGACCGAAGAGAGGAGAGAATTCGGTCGTTCACCCGTTTCCAAGGGGCTTTTGAAATCTCGAACGGTCGAATAAAATCGTCCCTGCACCGGGGCTCCGCCTCCTCCGATCGTTCGAGAAGAAAGAGCAATTTGTTGCTTGCCGAAGAGGCACCGCTTTTAGAGAGAGGCCGTTTCCACCGTGGCCGGGTAATACTCCACGGAATCCCGGTGAACGAAGAAAACCACTCTCTTAATTTGGTCGAGACAGGGGCACACGGTATCGAGACGAGGATCCGGCGATCGTAGTCCACAAGGTGAATCTCCCTGCCTTCGGATACCGACGCGGACGCGGCCGTGGCAACACAATAAATTCCTTCCTCCTCTTTCCTTTCCCCTGGTAGCTCTTTCCACGGGTTTTTGACGCCCGTGTTCCTCTTATCGCGACACGCGGCACCCCTCAATTAAGAGGTGCTGCTCGTCCACGAATGTTCTACCAGTCCAATCCTCCGGATCTCTTCTCCGCTCGGACCACACAGCGGGAGCTACCTGCGACGGCTGAACCTATCGGCCAGATCGCGCCCATAAAAATTAAACGTCGCCAGATAAATAAACGTCAATCGGGAATTAAGATAGGCGCCGCCGGTAGCGTGCCTTCGTCCTCCACTTTTTCTCTATGCGTGTTCGCCCGTTAGGAATTTTCCCTCGCTTCGATGTCCTTCTCTCTCTTTTTCTCTCTTCTCGTCGTCCAGGATCCACGGATAAACCAATGGTTCGATGATACCGCTCCCACGAATTTCTCTCTCTTTCTTCTTCTTTCTATCTCCAGTATCGACTAATTGTAAGTCGACCTCCCATCACGATCCTTCGTCGCTCGCGATTACGCTTTTCCTCCCCCCCTCTCCCCCGGACATACGTATACACGTCTCAGTCGCGTGAGAAAAACTTTAACTGTCAGAGTTACTTCTCGACTTTTAATCCCGTTTGACAAAGACATTTTCGAAGAAAACGCAGAACGCGTAATAAGGCGCGATCAATGCATTCGATTCGAGTGCATCGTTTCACCCCCGAGTGCAAAAAGCACTTCGCCGTCGTGGCAAGCGTACGCACGACGCGTCGAGGGTGGGCCAGAAAGTCGTATATCTCTTCCGTCGTAGACTTCCCAGGGCGAGCTGTCCTCGCCCGAGGTCGCAGATAAATGACGACCGTCGAGGATTGTCACCCGAAACGAGCGGTTAACACATCGTCGCCCCTGTCATCGATCCGCACCGTCCAATAACGCACCCGGCAGCCAGGGTTTATGTACCTGCCGTCCCAGACCTTTCCCCGTCTGTCCTTTCATTTTCATTGGCTGCGAGCTCGGAACTCCATGGAAAACCCCGGTGGTTACTTACGTGCTCGTAAACACGTGTCCCGGTCCAGCCACTGGGCAACTGCAACGATCGAACGATCGCGAATTTCGCAAGTAAAAGAGTCAAAGCCCCGCGGCGAAAGTTCGTTAATTGTTCATTTGGCCGTTTACAGGTTTACGATTCTCGGACGAGGCATAATGCGATCGGACTTTGTCGTCTTTACGACGCGGTGTCGTTTTTTACGGGGTGAGGCAAGCTCGTAAGTGCCAGCTGAAACGCAAATTAGATGCCTTTCTGGTGGATTCTGCGCCAGCGATACCTCTCGCTTCTTTCCCTCCACTATCGTCGTCGTCGTCGACCACGCGGTGGTAATATCCCTCCGATATTAACGTGGACTCCGTGTGCGGTATCGAAACTCGATTTAGCGAATTCCATCTCGTGGCAAGAACATCGCGCGCAGCAAATATCGCTGGTGAGAGTTAATTAACCCGTTGTCCGGCGGGTTTCGCGTCGGACCGACCGAGCGCCAAGCGAGTCGAGTATAAAACGGTATATATCCGTCGTATCTCGGGAATCTCGGGAGAAAGAGGGAGAGGAGGGTGAGCGCCCCCTGCCCCCCGATTGTCTCAGGCATCGCCGACAGTGTCGGATATAATTCGATCATCGATCGTCCGCTCTGGAATCCACGTGTCCGATATTTTCGTACCGGTGGGTTGCCGCTCGACGAATCGCATTCAGTCAGCTACGAATCACGATCGATACGATCGATCGTGTAATCTCTCGATCGGAGAGGGAAGAGGAGGAACGAGGACAGGAGGAAAGAAAGAGAGAGAAAGATACTGGAAGAGAATCTGGAATGGTCCTCGAGGGCCGTGGTCTCAAATGGCTGGCAATGAAGCCTTTAATTAAGGGAACATATTGCCACTAATATCCGACGAACAGCGTCAATCTGTCAGGCTACCAAAAGGTACCGATCTGATAGTGCGGCCTAGAGAGCAGTTCGGCCTATTGGACATCGGCTGTCTTCAATTTAGTTGTCGTGCTCGATCACCCGGAATTAATACATCGGACGGGTAACTAAACGAGCCACGCGGACAGGTTCGCTCGCCTCTCGTCTCGTCTCGAATGCGCACGCCAACTCAACCGCGTGAGAATTTTTCTTCGGACACACGATGGCAGGCTTGACCGGGGCTGCCTGCTCCATCCACGTTCAATTTGTTCCATTTATCTCGGCAAACCGTTCGCACGCCGTATCTCTCGCCGGTTACCGAAATGCCTCGGAATCCTGCAACGCGATCCCGACCAGATATACTCCTTTCCTCGCCGAACGCGTATCTTCGCGATAACGCAAGACCAAGTTTCACGATTCACCGTGAATTCTCAGCAAAAAAATTCTTACTCCGAAACAGAAGCGACCCGAGCAACGAGTACGTCACGGATTTCCAGAAGAAGCACGAAACGTTCACCGTGACAATTCCGAGTACGCGCGTGAATAATTTCCGTGATTAATGGAATCGGCTATCGCGCAATCGGGTCGACAAAAAACGCTCGCTCGGGCGGCTTTCCCTCGACTCGCGATGGCCTCATCGAGGTTAATTCGAAAGTAATGGCGCGATGCTCGAGAGCATCGACAACGTTCGTCCCGAGTAAATTGGACAACGTCGAAGGTGGAAGGACGTTGTTTAGTCATCGGCGTTTAATCGTAACGAATGGGGGACGCAGATTTGAAAGGGAGCGTGTAATCTGCTTCCGTGCGAGTGTATCGTTTCTCTTTGACTTCGATCTTGCACAGAGAGAGAGAGAGAGAGAGAGAGA